GCTGGCCGCCTTTGGGGAGGGTGTATAGTATGAAAGGCCGAAACACCCTAGGACCCAAAGGTTCACTACTGACGATGCGCTCCCCAAATTTCACCAGGCTCACTGTTCATGAACTCTTGGAAGTGCTTGCACAAAGGATAATAACATCTCATCCTGTGTTCTTTGGAATCTGATTCTGAGCAAACGCAAAAGTCGTCGTGATTTTTATTTTATTTTTATTTTACTTTTATTAATTTAAATTTTTTACCTACGTGACTTTACCGAAAAAACCTAAGAATACAAACGCAAAAGGTTGGCCAGGACCAGTTCATATACCACTCTCCACTGATGTTAGCCACAGACAGGAATCACACTCCGGGTTTTCCAGAGTCTACAGAGCAGTGCGCTAACCACTGTACCACCTCTTGCCTCCCATTGTCAGATGCTCAGAATAAAATTAACCATGCAGCACCGTGAGGGAACAGCAGAGAATGGGCTCTTCAACACGGGCCATGACGTTTCCTTTGAGCTGCTCTAAAACCTGTCAGCAATGTGTTCTTGAACACCCTAATGCCGCTGACAGCATTTTGGATTTTGATGACGACAATCAAAGGCATGCCCTATGCTCCTGTCTCGCTGCATTGGACAAAATGTGCTGGTGAAATAGTGAGGTGATATCATAGACTTGCACAGCATTCTAATATTTCTGAACAACCAGTCCTGGGCACCCCCTGTTACCAACGCACAATATATTCTGGGAGACAGCGGTGGCAGTGGTTAGCTTAATGATTAAGGGCCACGGCTAACATCAGTGAAGAGGGATATTTGACCTGGTCCTGGGTTTTCTCCTTCATGAATCTGCACTGACCAACATGGTGAAGTATAGTTGAAGAACCACCACCTCTTTCCTGTTCCTCTCCCCGCAAACAGCAATGCATGGGGAAGTCTTCATCCAATGGTATATTGACAAAGGGGCTGTGAATTATTAATAATAATATAGCATTTCAAAAAATGCATGGGTAAATCCAAGGCTGGCCTCTGGAGTGAAACAAAACTTCATTAGGCACACAGAGTGCCTTGGTAATTAAAATCAATAGTTGATTGCCTGCAGACACCGCGATCGAAGATTGGCTGAATGCATATAAATGAGCGGCTGTGAAATTCATCAGCGAAACATCTCATCTTAATTTAAGGGGAGCATGTACGATTATTAAAAAATCAATTTTGCATTAGGTTGTAAAGGCTCATTAAAAGTTACAGCCAGGGCGAGTTAAAAAAATAAATAAGCAAACAAATAAAGGCATTTTAATAATTAAATTCACAAACAGATTGATAAACACGTTAAACAGGAACACTCACGACTATACGTGCGCGATTGCAGTACTGTAGAGCCAGACCTGGGATTTAGCTGCGCGTGTGAAATCATCCTAACCCAGCTTCTCCAGGTCTACGCCCACCAGGTTACCTAGGTCTGCATACACTAGGTCGTGGATAATCTAACCGTCTATTATGGGGACTGTAAACATCTGCCATTATCCTTGTCCCCGCTGGCCACGTCTGGCTTGGCTGCTCTGCATCACTGTGAAGAGTTGCCATTGCAAAATTGCTTCTTAGCTCAATGTTAAACACATTCATTGATGTACAAACACATTTAATAAAAACAAACTCACACTCATCAATAGCATTGCCCCCAAATTAACAAAACATATACAATCAGTGACATTTCAAGCAATGACCCTTCCTCGGAGCACATGAGGAAGGGCCAATATCACCCAATATAAACTGTGTGCAACCACCATCTATGCCTGCTGACCAGCCCTGAGAACGGGAGGCAGATGCCATCAGTGGCCACCTGGATTTACCTGGAGGCCCAAGGCAGGATGTCACTTGGACCCCTTTAGCAACAACAACACAGGCCCGTGTGAGGCCCTATTTTGTGGAAAGCCCTCTTCGCACCCGGCCAGCCCTGCGTGCCACCAGCAAAAGGCTGGTGCTGTACATGGGACGCCACAATGACGAGATGTTAACTACCTCGTCTGGTAAACAGGAGGTCGTATGTTTGATCTTGACCCTGACGATCGCGTGGATTTTTGTCCGGGTCATCCGGTTTTTCCCTCCACATTTTAGAAACACGCATTTAGAGTATTTGGCTGCTATAAATGTCCACATGCTAATCAACGTCGTTGAGCTATCAATTGCGACCAAGTGGCTTCTGAAAAAGAGCAACGTAGCTCAGTGGGCTTTTCTTGGTAAAAAAAAAGATGTGTAAATTATTGTGGCGACGTACAATGGATGGCAGAATGTCCTTCACCCACTGCCCTCTGGATGCAAGTGGCCCTTATGCCTCGACAATCCATAAGAGGCAGACAGTGAAATCCTCTACAGCTGAAAATATATGAAGGGAAATCCACCTTTGTCCCTTTTAAATCCCATGAAAGGCAGAGCACAGTGCTTTTACTGCAGATTGCTTAGATGAAGATAATGACCGATGTGAACATTTTCTTGACGAATATTAATACATCTTAATAATAGTCGTATAAAATAATCGCACCTGAAATGTTGAATTGCCTACGGACAAAATGCAAGAGAGCAGTCATATTATAGATTTACTTAAGTTCAGAGTTGGCATGCCAAGGGCATACAGGCATGGAAACACCCCAGTATATACGGGGCAACCTCATATATTGAGGATACCCCTGCATCACCCTTGAAAAATCAAGTTAATGTGGTTTAAATGTTAATATTTGGGAAATGTGCTGCTTAGAGACTCCACAAATGCACAGGTCAGTTCTTTCAGTATGCAGCAGAGATAGCATTCCCAGTGGTATAAATTATGTCAATGCTGCATAGGCTGGTGCCGTTTGCAAATTAATAATGCACAGTGTAAAGCTTTAAAAATAAATCTTGGCTTACGCCAAATTTCAAGCAGGGGAAAACACAAGCACACGAGCGAATGTACGGGAAGCATGAGCCTCGCATCCATGCCGCTGTCCAGACCATGGGAAGAACATAAAAGGGTCCACCGTGAATTATACCAGGTTCCTGTGTCAGCACGAGAAGCCAGCGAATTCATGATACGTCCGCTGCCCACTTCAGACTCCCCGTGGGAGGATACAGTAGTGAATACCGGTGGTGGTTTTTGTTAAAAAAAAAGGTCAATGCCACAATATTTGCTGTGTTCTAACAGAGGGGGAACTGGCAATTAGTGTGTTTACCGTCATCCATGTGCTGCAATTGAACGGATGCACTGACAGCACACAGGAGGGCACTGAAGGGACTGCCAGCCAGTAAGCACATTTGCACATTGCGGTTTCCTGAGCAAATCATTATAAACCGACAAGAGAATGACGCTTCACAGAGAAGCCCCCTTATATTCCGCTGAGAAGCCAGAAAGCAAGTCAAGGTAAGGATCGAAACCATTGTTCAATTATCCAATTTTGAGAATTATTTACATTTCAAATATATTTAGTTTTTGTATTCCTTTAAGTTATGAAAACAAATGCATGGGTATATCTGTGAGCTTCAGACATACCGTTTAAATTAATATGAAGTGCTCATTGTTCACAATTGGAAGCATACATCAAAGATAATTGGCAAAATACTATAAGTATGGAAAGAATAGCCAACATTGATTACGCTTTGTTTCTTTTTATATATATTCGAGCTTAGAAATTGGATACCTACACAACTACATCCATCATGTGCATAATCCAAATTGACATGTCCCCTCTGTGGTTACGAGCGCATACACTGCACACAGAACCACAAGGGCAGTAAAGTAGATTCGTTTCATCCCCAAGGCAAATTCTTGTCATTCTGAAGGCAATATCACAGCATTTAAGACAAAGTGCTTTGGTCAGTGAGATTCTTCCCTTGTAGGTTATCGGTTCACACCAGGTGATAAGGAGCAGCTCCTTTAACAGACATTAAACCGGTCCTTGGCATCATTATAGAGCCCCTCATTAATCCAGTAAAGCACCACCAAATAGATAATGTGCAGTAGCCCTGCAGTAATGATCAACATAAACAACGAAACAAATAAGGAACACCTAAGCCTGCTCCAATAATATGCTTATTAGTCAATGCAAAATGGTTGTCGCTTCATTCGGAATTAGTATAAAATGTAAGCTTTTCATTCATATTTTATTATGTGCAGTTTTACTCGGTGTTCATAATTAAGTAGAGTGGCTGGGCCACTGAAGATGTCTGTGGCTTGGCAAGATGTTCAAGCACTGGCACAATTATCAGCGGCCACAACCCTGGCTTATTTTTTCAGAGGATAACATCTCAAGAGTATCTAGGTTAATGCTTTAATGTTACGAAACATCAATCCCGTTGGCTTACACCATTCCTGCAACTTGTGTGGTTTTCTACATTGGTTCATTAACAATGGACTTGAAGGCAATGCAATTATTTATTGCATTGCAGATTGCTTGTTTCACTTAAGGCATAAATTATGCATTCTAGTTTGGTTTTGAGGCAAACACATATTTCTCTTGCTTGACATGTTTTTCTTGTTTGTTTTAACGATGTTTACTTCTGTGTTTTATCGCGTTCTTTCGTAAATTTTTCGTTTAATTCGTACTTATTGACAACATTAATGATGTACTGGTGGAAATATTATCGTCATTATCGTCACCATCACCATCCATGATTTGCTTCTCTCTGAGGCACACAGCATGTATGTGTCTCTGTAATTACATTCATCTGCATCCATGACATGTTATTGAAACAGACAAAACGGGCAGTTTTCAAGTAAAACATTATTCGTATATTTTAAAAGAACTGCATTAAACTACCGCTCCACGCTGTTCTCATTAAATACAAAAAAAAAATCCTCCAATATTTATAACACGTGTTACATTGTATCCAACTCCTCACAACCAGGTTATTATGAATTTTGATTAACAAAAAAACTATTATATTTAATACCCTATAGACCATACTATTTTACACGCTCAGAGGGTACATTACATGCCTGAATAAAACAACGATTAGTACATAATAGAGAAAACGTTTACCTCGCGGTACGACAACTCCAGGAATGCAGGTTCGGCTATGCAGATTCTCACCGAACGACTTGACGCCCGTCCATTCGCTGAGATCGCATGGGGTTTTAAAAAATCACTCACGAATGGGTCAGGCTGAACAAACCGCCTGCCCGCTACTCCGGGGTAGTCGCAAGCAACACTCAACTTCCCCCTCCCAGACTCAGCCCACGCAACAAGAGAGGGGCCCGCACGGGCAGCGCTGCACGGGGGAAGTGAAGCAAAGAGGATCTGCCGCTGCAAGAAATTATTTCCACTTCATCACACAGCCTCATTAAAATCACAGGCGGGCGCGGGACGCTGGTTGGGCAGCCCGGGGAAAGGGGGCGGTGCACAGAGGGGGGAGGCGGGGAGGGGGGAGGGGAGCAGCAGCCTGGACTAGCGGAGAAAAACAAAACGGCGCACAAAGCTAGAAGCCTGTGGTGCAGCACTCCGTAACGTACGGCACCGGGTCCCAGCTCCGCGGTCAGCATCTCGCTTCAGCACCACGGCCAGCTACCGTGGTGATCAGGGCTGCGCGTCATGCCACCACGACTAGCTCCACCGCTCGGCGGCAGGGAAAATGCGCAACCACCACGTTGAAACAGCTTTTCTCTCCACCGCGCAGATTTCCTCGCTCGTTTCTCCCGCTCCGAGCAGACGCCGCAGCGCTATTAGTCATGTGTGCGTCGTCACAAGGGACGTGGGGGAATGTGGAGCGGGGCTGTTGTCCTGCATGCGTGGGTACCAGAGAACTGGAGGAACAGAGCAGCTCATCCCGAACCAAAAATGGTGAAATGGGTTTTAAAGGAAATGTTTTGTTTATCTAACTGCTGCCTAGATTAATTTATCATCACCCACATGTTTTATAAAACCCAATGCTATCATATATACGCGTGTGTGTGTGTATATATATATCGGAGCATTGTGACTCACAGTGAGATGTAATATATCATAAAGAAATGTGAAATTTGTTTTGTTGACCATTTTGCTTGACAGGCCATTCTCAAGACTAACATCGCACCAATTAAAGTGGTTAACGCTACGCCGGGGTGAGGGCAGAGCATTTGCAAAATTGTTTCCAGCCAAGATGTTTCCCCCAACTGCCTTTGTTTTCTCCTTCTAAGCACGCAATTACCAGAGACAAGCATCCTTATGGCACCACGCTGGAATAAATATATATATTATTAACGACGTAAAATATCAGTTCCATTGAAAGTGACAAATAAAAAGAAAATATATCGTTTCACGTGCTGTGAGAAAGCAAAGCATCCGGAGCAAGTTTAATCGACATAATTGTGCCATTTCTCCAAGGTACCCTTTAGTGCACTTACCTCCTATTAGTGTACAATTAAACGACGCTGCCCTTCATTGCACCAATTCCAGCAGTCCATTGCCCGAGATCGGGGAAGGATCACGTTCGGCGGAATTTCTAACGGAGACACGTACTTTTAGCCGTCAGCTTGTGTCAAATGTGCAGTGGCAATGCATGTCTGCGACGACGGTGAGAAGCACCTCTAAAAGCGAGTCGCTTCGTCTCTACACAGCCAAAGGTTAATGAACCTTGCCATTAAAGACACATGCAAAGGCTTATTGTTCGACAGGTGCGTTTTGGGATTTTTTTAAATTGTTATTATTATTGTTATTATCCTAAAGTAAAACAAAAATGAATAGCATAACCAAAACGTCTGCCCATCAAATAATATATTTAGACCCTATTTAGATTCATAATAGGAATTGTAGGCTATACATTTTGCAATCCCATAGCCAGGACAAACATTCGAACCGATGTTTTTTCAGGGATATTAACTCCTTTGCACCGATTTAACACGTAGGCTTTCGCGACAAAGGAACGAAACAGGTGGACTTTCTCCACAAATCTGGCTGTCGCCTGATGAAGCTAGTTGTAATTACTGACGAAACGTCGTACTCAGATTGTAAATGTTGTGGCTTGGCTCTCCAACACACCGGTTAGTGCTGTACTAGTGACGAATTGGCACGTTCTGTTTACGTGACAATCCTTACTAGTTGGCTGTGTCGGGTGGTGGCGGTTTTAACGACACATTTATATATTTACGCGATCTAACCCAAAAAAATTCACCAAATTTATAGTTTTTTTTTTTTACAATTATTGAAACTTGTGAGCAGCTTCGACTAGACTTTAGCATTCGTTGGCCAGCGTGGAAGAGTAGGCCAATAATATCCCTTTAGAGGGGCTATGTAGAGCTCCCTCGAGAGAAGGAGGAGGCCATTCTTCCAGCAATGACATCGGCACGTAATTGTAGGGCTGCACTTTTACCACCACATGTTCCTTACTATGCTTTGCAGTCCACAAGACAATGCCCACAGTTGTAATATCATCGTAAAAACTCACTACATCAAAATTACACAAGTCCATCCTTGCAGTGCCTTTGTTTCACCATATCTGCCGATTTGGAGTGGAATGTGTTTGTTCCAAGCAAGGGTTAAGGCTGCCCGCACCGTGCAGCAGAGCCTTGTGAGGTGCTGTAAGCACCTGCTCACAACGTACTGGGTTCCTGGCTATCATTTTACTCCAGAGGGATTCCTCGGGCTTTATATTGCCCACAAGGAAATACAATCGGCATCTCACTCTAGCCCCAGGCTCGCGGCGCTCGGATAAGCCATACGAATCCTTGGGGAAAGGCTGGAAATCTGCTATGAGAAAAATGTACTGTTCATACTCCATTAATTTCCAGAAAATAGCTCGTTGAGGGAGTAGCTGTTTTTTTGGATTTTTGTTATCGCATCTCCTTGACCAGATGAAATGATGCGCGGTGTTTGGGGACTGCATTTTTGTTTATTCGCTTATTCATTTTGAAGATGATAAAATGTTATCAAAATGAAAATTAAAGTGCCTCGCCTGTTTTAGGTTTGTGCCCGATGTTGTTTTTCTTCATATCTACCATCTAGAACATATCGTCATCCATGAATGACTGCCTGAGTGAGCGAGTAAGTGATTATTGAAAGGCCGGAGAGCTGAAATTTCGAATAAAAATAGCACTGGCTCAAAACTAGATGATTCGAATATAAATTTTTAGGCCTAAAAATTCTAATCTAGCAACTTTTTGGTTTCACTCATATGTCAGGGTTAGCATTAAGCTATATTTCGCTTTCAGTCTCATGCTAAATACGTAAAGATGTTTTATCACCATTGTCAGTGAACCAAGTAATTTGCCTCCTATGGCATGTCACACTGAAGCCAATCAGCAGTGGGTGAAGCCTGCTACCAGGAACTACTAGTAATCTGAAATAAGGGATAATTGTATTAATATCTATTGTAAATCTCATGGTACATGTATTGAAGTGCACAAGTAAGAATCCATGTTTTCTTGCTTATTTCGCACGTAATGGAATCGTGGTACCCCTGCAGCCAATAGAGGAACTGCCATTCTTGAAATTGCAAAGCTGAATCTGTCAATTCATCAAATCCCCAAGAGGGGGTGGGTAGGGGTGACATCCTCAACCATTAGTGACTTGTATTCATCACCACGATTACTGGCAACTAGTACTACCATTAACTAGTAATACTAGGTGCACATAAAAAACGTAAAATGCAAGCAATCCCAACCACATATTTAAATGTATCGCATATGACGTAGAGAACAGCAACATGTAGTGTTTCCCCATTCATTAAACATAAGGCTTCTGAGCAATGTATGCTTAAATAATAAACAATGTCTTGAATGTGCAAATTGAAACATAGTATAAGGTTTTCAAACATTCTTGATTTAAATCGAAATTTGAAATGCCTCAGCATTTATTTGAAACAAAATGAGTCCATGCTCTACGATTGCGAGACACACACTCTCGCACAAAATAATACCCTGAGTTTTATGCTAATGAGTCAATCATGAAGATTCCAATTTGTGCAAAAGTAGAAGCCACGTGATTTCATTTTATAGATTATTTTAAGAAAGAAAATATGAACGTGTTATTCTTGACTCTGCGTATCAACTGTGCAATCAATGGATGTAATACTTTACTTTGAAATGATATGGATAACCAGTGACTACCATAATGCAATAGAACAGATGGCAGCACCCATACATATTTCTGGCATTTAAAATGAAAAAAGAATAAAAATAAGTTTGTGATAGAAGCTGGTAAATTATCAAACCAGCCCCTTATGTAAATGCATGTTTTTGGCATTAGTGCGAAATGTACGTCTGTTTACTTATGTCAAGACGTCTTCATGAAAAACTGCTATAAAGCACCCTTCACCCCCTCCACTCTCTATCTCTGAGACAATTATTAAAACCCCAAAGGGCGAAATAAACCCGCCTCATCCTCGCACATTAATCTTTGTTGCTGAAAAGCCAAAGGGTTTTTTTAATTGGGGGGTGTAGAAAACAATACGCAGAGCCTCACACTCAAAATGAATGTCACCACAGTACTGTATATTTATTTAATCATTATCATAATTTGTACCAAGCTATACAGAGTTAATTAAGACATTAATTAAACATCTTGATTCGTTGGGTATTGAATTAATTCAGCATTTAAAAAGTAAAAGTATACGAGCACATTGCTTGCAATGCCCCTGATCTTGCCAGGTCTCTGTAAGCTAAGCAGGTATAAGGCTGGAACATGCTCAAACGAGTCACCACTATTTAGAGTGGTTTATTGAAGGTCGCGGTGCTCGAGGATTGACAGCAGAGGGCAGTGCAGCTACATCCATTGTTGGACTGTACTTACACGCTTCCACTTCTACCTTGTCCACCTTTATCAGCCCGCGCTGACCAGCGTGGCAAAGTATGGTGAAATAATCCCCTTGAATCGGAAAGGCATTGGACTGGCAATGCTAGTGTCAAACTCTTAATTGTGGGTTGTCCATGAGACAGGATTTCCATATTTTGCAATCTTCATCGTCTCTCATAGAAAGTTTCATCCAACCGCTCAGAATGTCCTGCCAGCTGATCCGTGTCCTTCCTTCTGATTGCCATCGCAGAATCATCTTGTCATGTACGTGCACAATACATAAACGAAACAGGACGTGTAGTCTAAGCAAAACTGCCCCGAGTGTAAACCAAGTGTTTAAAAATAAATTAATTTAAAAGAGCCAGTCAGCCTGGCTCGGCTTCACTCTGGTCTGCTCGGTCCTCTGGGCTCTGGGAATGTGTCGTGTAAAGCTAATGCATTTGAGCAGGCAACACAGGGACAGATGGGAAATGAGGCAGGGGGGCACTAGCCATTTGCAGAGTGCCGATCTAGGTCGGAGGGCAATGTTTGGTTAGGTGAGCAGGACTGTGTGCTTCCGTATGAGCTATCGCATTGCCCGGGCACAATCTGTCGAGAATTCCAATGAGAACACCCCACCCAGATTCATCTTCAAAACC